TGCCTGAATGTCCGGCATTGGAGCCTTTACCCCTACCAACCGCGATGACCATCCTGTCTGAACCACGGAGAACATCTGAGATGCGATAAACATCAGACTCAAGTTCATTCTCATCACGCATGCAGCTACAAGCGATCCAGTAAGCAGGAAGCTTTGCAGCTCGACAAGCGGTCTCAGCGATGTGATGAAGAGCCATCATGTCCTGCTCAGAGCTATGGCTAAAATGCTCAGTAGAGTAGGCGACAAAGAGATAGGCAAGGTTTGTGTCTTGACCATCACTGTTCTCCCACTCGACAACACTGCGGACATCTACCCCTCTATTCTCATCGTTGAATGGCTCACGAAGGAAGCAGAGATAGCGAGGTCGTAGCATGCGGTAGATCTGGTTATTGCGAGCCATGAGAGATAGACCCTTGCGATTCTCGAGCAAGTTGCTCCAGACCTTGGCGTCGCCGTGATATCTATAGAGAACAGGAGCATAAGCGAGACGTCGCTTGATAACAGTAGGCTTGCCATCCCAGAACTGCCAATGTCAGTATACTTGTCGTCGTCTTTTAGTAACAAGCGACTTACCACAAGAGCCATGGCGATGGCAGCAGGGAAAGTTCTCAACACCATGATTCCCCAATCTTCCCAACTCTTGGGGTCGTAGCTAAAGTCAATGATCCATGTGGCAATGCGCACCTTCATCGGAGCAACCTTGCGAACATAGGTTCTCTTCCAAGTAGAAGTGCAAGGTCCTTCATAGATGTCATCAACACATGCAACATACATGTTACGAAGGTAGCCATCATTATGATGTAGATAACGATCTGATCGAGGCTTGAATGAGACACGGCCAGCATAGTCTCTATGTCTCATCTTAACCTCACTGCCCGTGTAGTTGTAGCCAGGCTTCTGGTACAACACGGGATTGCGCCATCGGTAGATGGAGCGTGAGTCAAAAAAGTGCTTGCTTCCCTTGAGCTTGACAGGAAACTCCTTTTCAGAAACCTGAAAGCATTGTTAGTCAGTACTTATGGTGAAGATGGGAGGGTATTCACTTCTTTCTCATTGGGACTGGTCGAAGCCGTGAGGGGCGTGGTGGTTACGGGGACAATAGCACCTTTGTTCTGCTAAGAAATGTTCAATTTAGAGGCTAGAAACAAAAACAACCGCGGAAGAGCTTTACCATTGGCCCGTCCTGCTGACCACTGCTAGAACCCTGTTGATAAATGACACCTTGTTGACCATTGTAGGCCTGCTTTGTTTAGTGAGCGCAACAATTGAGGATTTGATAGTTACTAACCATGGATTGTTGTTGGTACTGCATCGTGTTGTGCGTCTGAGGTTGTCCGAGAGGGATTGACTGTTGGTATCCTAACGACCCAGGAGAAGCTGGATAGCTGTGGGGCTGGGCCGAGAGTGGGCTTGTAGAAGGCGATACAGCTTGTTGATAAGGATGAGTGTATGGCTGGTTCTGATAGGACTATGAAATATGAGAGACTTGGAGGATAAACGCGATATATAGGGTACTTACAACGACCGAGCTGCCTGGAGTATATGCACCACCGTGTGCTTGATGCGGTACAGTAGGAGGTGGTGTCTGATTATACTTGCTCTTGTTAATACCGGTTTTCTGTAGATAAGAGTCAAGTAGGCTTACATTGCCAACAGAGTTGGGATCCCAGTGCCCTCCGTGTGCCTGTGACAGGTGTCAATGACTGAACGAAGCAAGAGAGAGGATGAGAGGGAAATACCATGGTTCAAATATGGGGAGCTGTGATGAAGAGGAAGTGACAAAACGCGGGATGAAGGAAGTAGAAAGGGTCAAAGTCCTTCAGACCGACAGATGGTTCTTCTCAACGCTAATAAACCACAAGCAACCCCACGGCATATGCCACAAAGGAGCCGCAGCCTGACTGAAAGGAGGTGAACATCAAGCTGAATGGGTGCAACACACCATCCGTCCTATGAGAATACAGGGACTAGACTCCGATTTTCAACTATATCTCGATTCAACGCGCTTGATAGCGCCGTTCCTTTTGCCACCGGAGACCTAGACCTTTCAGGAAGTGCAGGGTCCCTTCATTCTTGAGTCCAGAGCCTGGTATCAAGGGCGTGGACGTGTGTGACTATTCTTGACCTCCTGCATTCAGCCTCACAATATTGCAACGGTGATAGGACGCTGGTGACAGATTGGGAGACGGCATCTTCCGTGAGGTTGAGGCTCGAACAGCAAACTATTAGAAGCGGCTGAGTCTCGATATGTCACTCGCAGCCTCTGCAACTGTGATATTGGCCGTTAGGGGCCGGGGGTTAGGACTATTCAGCCATGGCGTTGCCCGCGGCTTTGAGAGTATCACAACCCCTGACATATTGTCGCAAACGCAGTGTCAGGATAGGACGCCTTGTGAGGTTTGGCGCCATGGAGAGGAGCCACAGGGGACCCCTTGACCAAAAGCGGCATGCCGGGCGAGTTGAAGATGTCTCACCAGGGATTATCATTGGGCTATCTTTACAAGGAATCCATTTATCTATCCGAAAACTCCTCCAGGATCACTAATATTCCGTTTGGTTGTGAAACCCACATGATCAGAAGTGCGGGAGTTGCAAACGATAGCGTTCAGGCCGTAGCGAATAGCAGCATTGATACTCTTGAACCCCTGGTCAACGAGACTTTCAGCCCTGGGGAACTAGACCGGTCTGAGTGTAACCCAACCCGGGAGGTCGGGAAGCTTGATAATCTTAACTATATTAGTTTTTACGCGAGAGATGGGCCAATGCGGTGTTGATCCTGTATCTAGACTCGTTGTTGGACCATTTCCGTTCAGAGACGGGGATATGGCGTTTTGGTGGTTGAAACATGGCTTGGTCTAGACACATCTGGGGGCTGCAAGCTTGCGATATCCCTGAAATAGAAACGAATACATGAAATGACAATGCACAATCACGACGCCATGGTCCTAGATGAAAGGGTTCGGCGCTTGTGCTTAGGACAAGCAAGGAATACAATTGAGGCCCCTTGGTGTTGATGGCTGAGACTCTGGGAGGATTTCTCCATCATAAGACAAGCAACGTAACAGTCCATTCACTCGGTCAAAGTGATCCAGAGTCGTAACTCGCGAAATATTCACCATGTCCTGGACCCAGAGAGCTAATCCTTATGATGCCTTTGCTCAAGAGGCGACTCAAACGCCGCTCGCAGTCGCTTTTCCACAATGGATGCTGAACATCTGGGAAGTAACCCACGGTAAGTGACTGAAATTTTGAAGCTAGAATCTCTCGCTGATCATTTGTAGATCATCCAGAAGGCCGTTGGTACCTGGAGCCTAACGCCCGTTGTCTGCGACAGAGGGCAAGCTTGAGGATTGTGTAAGTTTATCTCAATACAGAACAAAATGGTGCTTTTTGTTTTGCACCAGTTGAAAATGCAAAGGACTTACAATTCCAGATTTGCACCGCTTGATCTTCCCCGTCGAGATGCCCTGTCCCAATTCATCGAGCTCTTCAACATCCTCAACATCCCCAGCGACTTCACCAAAGAACGTCTACAATCTGTCAGCCACAGCTTCGGGCGCTCCACCGACGCTCATGGCTCTAGCTCTTGGTTTCACTTCCTCTGCAAGAACATTGACATCAAGCAAACTCCCGGCAATGCCCCCGAAATTGACAACCGTGCTGCTACAATGGGTTATCACATCTCTACCCTTCCACAGGCGGACTATAGTTGGCATCGCGCGGGCTTCTTTCTGAGAGTCGACAACAATGGTTGCATCACGCTTGTTTGCTTCGGAGTTATGCAGAGGGTGCGGGAGAGGATTAACGAGTTTGTTGCTGCGAAGGCGTGGCAGCATGTTGCGACTGATCCCTATATTCTGTTTGATCTTGTGTTTGAAGCTCTGTACTTTGAGGTTGATAATACTGTTTGGAAGATGAACACTGTTTTTGGTCCTTTGGAACATGTAAGTCACCGTCTTTCCATATGTCATGCCTAACTAACTGATGGTTCCCAGTTGATTCTTGAGTATGCCAACTCTAAGAATATTCGCAGGATGAGCTCCAAGGTCCCATTTTCTGCAATGCACAACTGTGCCAAGCACATCATCCACATAGCAGAGGCAATTGACTCATGCATCATGCTTGTTGACGCAACTCTCCACAACGTCGGCAATCATAAACACCCAGAGCAGCCAACTCTCCGGGAACCAATAATCAAACAGTTGCGCGAAACTCTCCAGTATCGGCGCTCGCTGTTCACGTCTAGTCAACTCCGCCTGAGCAGTCTCCAAAAGCGCATCGATAACGCCATTACACTGTCATTCAACCTTGTCACTCAGCAAGATTCGATGGTGATGATCCAGGACTCGAATTCCATGAAGGTCATTGCAGCTATTACGATGATCTTTCTACCAACGACTGGTGTTGCTACTGTCGTTGGGTCCCAGCTGTTTACGTCTGATATTCTGAAAGATGGTACAACCTGGGACGTCAGACTTACACCGTTGTTCTGGACTATGTTGTGGATTTCTATCCCTCTCACTGTCTTCGTAGTGCTGTTGGCTATCATCTGGCATTGGTGGGTTCATACTGAGTCTCCTACAGGAGAAGTTGTGCAGGTGGTTAAGAGGGCGGCGACGTTCAGTTCTTCCGGAACGAGAACACCACCGAATGGCAATGCCAAATGATGTCGAGTTACAGCAGGTCATTTGGATCTTCATTTTCTATCGTTGCGACTTTGTTATGGTCCTTTCTTTTGATGGAAGTGTCTTGTCTAGCGCCAAAGCCATATGTATTTACTATGAATTGACATATACAGCTACATTGTTCTTGATCTCGGTGCTACTAAATAATAAATGTATGTCCATGGCTGACCTGCAGTCATAATGATAAGTCCAACTTGTGGGAAGAAACTTGATGCTCAGCACAAGTCAATATTGCATTTAGCACTTGAACACGGCAGGGCCCGGGATCTTGTAGGTGGTGGCTGTGACCTCTATTAGCAAGGCCCAAATTTCAGCTCAGACGGAAGAATACTCACCCTGGTAAGGGTTGTAGGTAACACCAGGGTCGGTGCTGGCATATGCTCCGGGGAAAGCAACGAGGTTTGAAGGAGTTGTGCTACCAGAGCCAGAGACCTTGAGCTGATGGCAGCCAGGGTAGAATTGAGCTCCGGGGTATCCAGTGGCGGAGTGAAGAGCGATGAGTTCGTGGCGGACAAGGTAATAGCCAGGCTTGATGCACTCGGGGATGGTGTAGTTGACACCTGAGTTGCCAGACTTCATCAAGGGGCTCTGGTATGACAGCGTCAGTAATCTTGTAACCTCCTATCACAAGGACTTATACTTACGGTGGCCCAGTTGTTGCTAGTTCCGTCACGTCCAGCCTCCTGAATCTTGAACCAAACCTTCTGGGTACCAGGCTCCCAGGTATCACAGCCCGAGTCGGGGCAACGGGCCATGTAAGTGATAACAGGTCCAACATGGGAGTCAGGCCAGAGAGTCCACTTCAGGTTGACAGTTGATCCAGCCTTAGCATCGGCGTGAAGAGCAGCAGGTGAGCTTCCCTTGATACCACCAGCAGTGTAGCCGTTGCACTGCATATCGATGGAGGTGACATCCTCAACAGGTCCGTTGCCTGGAATTGGGCGGGAGATACGCTTGGGAACAGGGTTCATGTAAGGATCAGTGTAGGGGTTGTAAAATTGGTAGGTCTGGCCTCCAATTGTACCAGTCTCAACGAAACCGTGGGCAGCAGCCAGGCCAGCAGTGGCGAGAAGAGAGTAGAAGAAATGCATGTTGAATATCTTTCAAGCTATATGGGGATATGACCGGATGATCCAACTTCTGGGGTTGAGAAGCTTGACGATCACATCCTATCGTGAAAGACTGCCGTCTTATATAACGATGAGGACGACGTTGAATAGACACTAACTGACAAGGGCCGGTAGCATGTAGATGAAACAGCCCCGAGTATTTCCACCATTCAAACAAACGTGTTTTAATACATTAACTCTGGGGAATGTCATGATCTAAACAAAAGCCAAGGTGAATTCCCTAATTGGGGAGTGAAAACTCGGAGCTTCAATGATCATCCCAATTAAGCATCATACCTTATTTTTACTCCGCGACCGAATTGACAGCCATTGGCTTACATCTAGCTAAACGAGAATAGGCCAAGAGTTTAGTTGTATGTTATCGACCTTCTCATTGAAATCTGTTGATAGAGGTACTGAGCTCGAGATAATCGTATAGGTACACCAGCATTAAGACCACGTGATATCAGGATGCCTTGTGCGCAAACACTGCATTGAAACACCAAACAGACAACATCACCATCAAAACCCTGCCTATGAATTCGTCCTTAAGCCTGCCAGATACTGTATCAAAATCTAATCGATCGGTTCTCATCTATCATGCGTTTACCGCTGGAGGTCATGGGACTCATTGCCCGAACATGCGGCTCAGCACATCATAAATGCATCCCCATTCATCCAACCTACGAATCAAGAAGAGGCAATAAAGGCGCAAGAACATCACCGTGACCTATTAAACCTAGTGGTTTCATGCAAGTCTGTCTACAATAATAATCGACACCTCCTCTTCACCTGTCTAATCCTGGAGAATGCTACCGACATCGTCGCAGCTCTGGCCAATATTGTCAAACATCCACAAGTCGGACCGTCTATCCGTCATATAAGGTGCTCTACGGAGCTTCACTCCGAAACAGAGCGGTACAAGGCTTTAGAGTATTGGCTATTGAACCATTCACAGGATGCGGCACTACTCCAAGACACCCTCAAGGCAGAAGGTCTACGTCCTCCTTGGTGGAATGAAATGGATGTTCCTTGGACATGCTGGGAGGGATTTGTATACGATGACTGTACAGAGGTTGCACTCTTGGCCATTCTGTATATGGTAACGGAGCTAGAGACGCTTTCGTTCCAACAGCTTGATGCAGGACTCATTACAGATTGGGAACAAGTGCGGGATCTACGAGCATCTTTCGCGCAAGCTCGGCCTGGAACAAAACCCTTCTTGAATTCGCTACGGGGTCTTCAGTTTGGTGAAGGGACCTTGGGTGGTATGGAGAAATTGCTTCCTGTTGATCCACATGACAATCTAGAGGTGCTGGTTCTCGATTGCATATGTATTCAGAATTTCAGCCGCTGGTCCAGTTACTTCGACTTTAAAGGTAATCATCTGAAGGAGCTTTACTTGGGAACAAGAAGCTAATCCCCAAAAACTGTTCTCGATCCTCTTCTTGCTCAGAGAGAATGGGTCAATGGCGAGTGGGTTACTCCAGGGCCAAAAGAGCTAGAAGCCCAGTCTGAGCTGTTTCTTGGAGGTGAAGAAGCACGGAGGCTCTCAGTTGCAGAGGCCAGGGATACTATGGATTGCCTTAAAGACTTCAGGAATCTTCGGGTGTTGGATGTTGTTTTTGACAGGCCGCCTGATTGGCCGTCTAGGTCGTTGATTGCGCTTGAGAACATTGCTTCAGGTTCTCTGCAGGTTTTGAGGATTGAAGGATACCCATTCAAAGTTGAGCTAGGGGGATTTGGACCATGTAACTCTGAGTATGAACGGGCTTTTATTACAAGGCTTGATACGGTTGAGTAGGTTAGAGGTTATGTTATCTAGCTCAGCACTTCCCCTTTGACCAAGGAGCACCAGTACCCTTTCTTGTTAGACGAATACATCTTCCTCCAGTTACTTTTAGAGAGATGTCTTCGCCTAAACATACGGCAACTATTGCCATGTTGTTGTGTTCCTACTGGGATTTCCTGCTCCTTCTCTGACTTCCTATAAACTTGGGATAAACCTTACTTACTATTAATTCGTTTGCCTCTCTTGTTAATGACACTTACTTTCCTAACTTTTATATCTTGATCTCAGCCGCATGAGCCATACAACAAACTTGCCGGGTCGTCTTGACCTAGCTTATCAGGAAACCCACAACGTTCCCACTCAGATTCCCACTTCGACATTCTAGTAAGATCGAAATCTCCTTTAAACACTCTTCTTGAAAGTTCCGCAGTATATGCTAGTAACCTTCAACTTTCCGTGATCTCATCTCCCCCTGACAGATGAGAAGGTCTCTCGCTTTCAAGATGTCATCAGGCTTCTGGAACCAGCAGCAAAAAGGACAAAAACATACAACAGCGGGGATTCGCTGGTCGTCACCGACCCAACTACTAATCCGCCCCTTATCAGCTTATCTATGGGAGAGCGGACGGGATCCCGAGTTCTCTGATAGGTATGGTCGTATGTGAAAGATCGTAGTGTTGAGAAGTCTCAAGAAGAAGACGACACGAACACAAAAAGCCAATGCCAAGTGAGTACCTCATAAGTGCGATCTGGGGATAAAAGTCATACATGAGTAGATATTGCTAACTTGGAGAATTCTTCTGATTGAACGGGCTGTTCAAAAATGTCTACGGTGTTGTTGGTGATGCCTTTAACCTTGTGATAGACTGATGTTATATCATTGTACCACAGACCACCTAACCCCTCTCGAAAATACTGAAAGCTCTACTATTTCCGACCTTCTATAACTCCATATCTAAGTTACTATATCACTTATTCAAGTTGGACAGTATCCAGATTCATGATGTACGAGCTTGGTACCTCTCATAATGTTTCATGAATAAGAGCGTTGATTATTAACTGTTGAACCACCAGTGGACGAGGATAAGGCGATTAAATCAGTGATTGTGACGAGCAATCTCTTTTAGTTCCTTAAGGTGAGCCATTGTAGGCAATCAAGTATGTCCTTAATACTCACGAGAGAAAGTCTGGTCATCATGCTTGTTTTAATGTATTGCTTCTGACAAAACATATTCATAGCCGCAACCCTAAACCATAAAAGCAATCCAGTACCTGCATTAATACCTACATACTTAAACTCAATCCAAACTCTGCTTTGCAATCTTAGAGGACTGCCATGTGTCTCTTCTCATGTCTAAGCAGGTTGGCCATGAGAGCCAAGCTACAACACAGCAATGCAATTGATGAAAGACTGGATGACACAGAAAATCTGACTACTCTATGATCATTTCAGTATCAATTAGGTCTCTCTTTCACCACGGCAATTGTCTCGCGTCCTCCGTCCTCATACAAAGTGTCTTTCAACTTTGTACGACAAACAACCGGTTCTTGTTTCAACACAAAGCACGACCATGACAACGATCATTGCACCACTTCAAAAAATGCCGACTCTGAAAAATTCGTAAATTTTAAGTAATAGCGTACAATGAGACTGTCAATGATGTTATACCCCCTCGATGACGGAGTTCGGCAAAGTCACACGCCTTTATGATGCATGGGTCGGACTCGATGCCAGTTACCCTGTACAAAAGGAACGATCGTGAGAAGAAGACGGGATAGCTTGGATCCTTGGCGTAACAGGTGTAAAGAACAATTTTGGAATGCCCGAGCTTGTGTCTGTGTTCGTCATATGACGTTAATCTTCACTGGTGTCACCAAACTTAGGAGTTGTTGTATCAACTGTCGAGATATCTCGTGATCATGCGCACAAGGCTTCAACTGCCCTGTGTAATGATATCTCACAGCCTCTGAGTCGAAGTATTTTGAATGATTTGTACAACACATTGACCTTCAGTATTGGAAATTATCTACTCGATTAATCATTTACCCTAGATCATTGCATGAGATGCTCTGAAGGATACGATCAAAGCCTGAAACAGAAGCAACCCTTCTGGAAGAATGCGACGGTTACGGCCAAGATGCATGCAGCTTTTCATTCTTTAGGCATCTAACTGTTACCAATTTGCTCCAATGTTTTGAAAGGGCCTCCCACCCTCGCCGAGTCGAGTGTAACCATACGTAGTATCAACTGAGATTCAAGGTCACGCCACTTTGAAAGCAAGCTTTGCTGGCCCATTCCCTTGGAATAATGCATGCACTCAAGTATGTAACATAAAACATGAGGTATCAGTTTATAACTCATGCTTGATAACTTGGCGAACAGCTTGAATTTGGTAACACGCACGGCACTGCCGACAGCTCACCAAACAAGGGCGGGATCATCGATCTATTGTTTGTTTATTGTCTCAATTGTTTTGAATTGAGTTCGACATGAAAGATAGATTTGATTAACTTTAAAAGCTATGCAGGCTTCCAGTGGAGAGTTTATGGGCATTCGATCATCGCAATGCACTGTATATAGTAGATTCTTGGACATGGATGCATGCGATCACGCCGCGGCTTTTCCTAGAATAACTCTCTCACCAGGGCAATCTGAATGAAGCATCATAGGTCAATAATAACGGGCCTCACATCCAATGCTCGATCGTCAATGCTGATCGAAACGTGCTGATAAGGATGTCTCGGATGTTGTCTTGGTGCTGTTGGGCCGTCCCATAAATATCAGAGTTTCCTTTCAGAATGGCACTTTTGTTTTCAGCACTCGCTGTTTGATGCACCTCGATCGTAGATGAGGCCCGATCAAGTCACGCAATCTCGTTCTTCTTTCTCTTCTGTCATCTAGGTGATGTCACTTGGCCATCGTCATGAAGCAGCGGCTAACAGTGGGCTGGGCAACACACTACCTGCACGCTGAACTGCAAGCGGTAACCCAGCAAGCTAGTGAAAGTACGTATTTATTAGACGGAATAAACACCAAAATTATGGGCGATCTGGCGCGGAACATCGCAGGTTGGGGTGAGGCACGGAGGCTGGCGGGCATTAGCCAGTCGAGCGGACTGCAGATCACCGACAGGACAGAAGAGGGCATGAGAGGACATTAGAGGAAAGGACAGAGTGAAGAGAGGAGCAGCGGACGTAGCACAGCCCAATCCCAAACCTGACAGGTCGCCAAAGTGTCATCTCGTAACTGGTCCCGTGACGAAAACTGACAACGGCTGAATGAAACATGGGGTTCGCGGGAGCCTTAGCTAGGCATCCGAGCGATCTATTTAGTCTGGTCAGTTTAGGCTGCTCACGAGTTGCGTAGACGAGTAGGCAAGACAGTAAGACAGGCCAGCCTCAACACGGCACCCTGGGCTGAATTGCCTATCCAGGAGCAAAATGCGAAGAAGCTCAGCAGTTTGAGTTTCATGGCTGAAATCTCGATCATCTCAACTCTCATCTGAGCATCATCAATAATATCTAGATTGTTAGGCAGGACTGTCGCAGTAGCTGGCACACGGACATGCAATACCCCACAACTCTGCAACACTGCAAAGATGACCAAGAAAGATAGATAACAAGTCAGCGCAACCCCAGATTCACATTCGAATGAACAAAATTACCAACGGACAACAATTTGTCTCCCAGACCCTGCAGAATGTGGGGGAACAGACCCCGCGTTTTTGGCAAGCCAGTGGATGACAGGGCACAGGGTCAAAAGCCAAGGACGAATAGGGAGACAGCGATAAGAAAGACACTCAGTGAACTGAGATGGGACTGAGAGCACGAGGGAAGCTCTGGGAGGGGGGGTATTAGAGTTTCGGCCCATGACCAAAACGAGTCGAGAACCACTTCAGCTGTGACAATTCCATCCTGTTCTCGTGACTCGGTTGGGGCAAGATAGAGAAGAGGCTGCCAGTGATGTCACGGCGATCAAGGCCAGACAAAATGGGAACCAAGGAAAAAAAAGATAAACCATTCTCGAAACATTGATTGTACCAAGGACGCGTGGGAAGAGGAGTCCGATCAGCGGTGCGAAAAACAGGAGTGCGTGCTCTCCTCTGAACCAGGAATGAACACCTGGCGATCAACAATGGACTCTTCTGTGCTTAAGAGAAGGATTGGGGTTGTGTTTATGTCTCTGTGCGTCACTAGTAATCCTCACCCTCCCACCATCTGAAGAACACTGGAATTTAATCGCGGGGAGTAAACTGGCCAGGCTCAAAAGGGGAGAGCACCAGATGCATGGCGTCACTCAAGAAAGCGAATCAATGTCTTGCACAAATGGCCGTCATTCGTGCATCCAAGACCCTGCAGACAATGACAGCAGGAGGGTTTTGAGGCCCCCTGACTTTTGTTTCTTGTACAGCGTGATATTCATCCCACAAAATGTCAACCACAAGAATGCCGTTTTGTACACGTGCTCACAACAATGCAACAAACGAAAATTATAAGGAATGGTTGGTTCCGGGAGGTCCTTACACCAAGCTGGGCTTGATTGATAGTGCAACCGCCGGACGCGGGTGGAAATCGTGTGGGAACGAGGAATGGGAAAGTATAGATAAGAGATTCCCGCCCCGAGGCTCCGGTCGTGTTTTTCGGGTGAGGCCCGGAGTAGCCGCTGAAAGACCTCCGGTTCGGCCCTCTCTTCTCTCCACTGACTCGTGGGTCGCCACGTTGATGGCTCTCCAAGTGCCGGACGAGTAAGTTGCACTAGCAGAAGTCGTGGTGATGATCAGTGTGAAATAATCTGAATATTATTTCGTCCCGTCAGCAATACCGACCATTCCGATCAGACAGAGCATGATAGATTGCTGTCGCAACGCTCACTGGTGGCTGGCTGGATGCTCGGCGAGGTGCCTTATCAGCTCGGGCACGCGATAAAGCTCCGAAACCGTGACCCCCAACTTGCACTAGGGAATCATCAAGTACCTGCTACCTTAGGTAGGAATCGTAGGCAGCTAGATTCAAATAGTCTTCGTATCTCGTCCATCAGTTGTGCACCAGATACTGGCACGTATCTGTCATATCATAGGCGGGTGATGTTGCTGGGTTCTGAGTGGAACAACTCTAAACGGCTCGTTATCTGTTGCGCCAGCTGGCTCCTCTCGATTTGTCCTGTCCTTTCAAAAGCTCTGGTCAGTCCACTGTCACATTGATGAATTGTGCAGCTCATCAAATCCCTTTGAGATCCTTGCATGCGATATTGCTCGACTGAACAACCAGCCTGACCAATTCTCACCCATCATTTCCTTCCGTGTGGCCGACAAAAGTGTGAGCGAGGCTTTGACACGGTCACTGACTGCTACAAGGGTTGTGCTCTTCGTTGGCGCTTCGAGCGGACCTTGGACCCCGAAACACAAGCTTCCTTGTGACTCGCCAGCTTGATCAATATTTGTGGTTTGGCTTTTGAACTGTCGAGCTCAATCTCAGACAATTGCTTGGCACGCTGCCCTGCCCAAGGTCCCCCGTTAACACGCCCCTCCTGTGGCCTCGTGGCCATGCGTCGGTGCTGAATAAATACTCACATTGTCGTCCTTACCGCTCATCAAAGGACGAAAAAGACCGAATCTTTTGTGAAGGACGATTTGATGTTTCTTCTGTTTGGACGGCAGTTCTGTGTTATCGAAACAATATTCGAAGCCAGCAAGCAAGCTTCTCCGCGGCCTTAAGATCAACAACCTTGTCTAATCTGATTTGTCAACTCCAGATCCCTGCGGCATCTGGATGAAGACACACGAGCATTACACAACAGCAACGAAACCCTTTTAGCGCTGCAAGGCACGACACGACCTGTTTTCCGTGGTAGCGTAATCCAAACGGCTTGTTCTTTCAACAACCTTCGATTCGAGGAGCCACTAGGCCATCAAAGACGTGATTCGCTCTTCACCTGAGCTCTAGGGCTCTAACAGACTCGCAAGCGTCACCCTTGATCGACGAACCAATCCTGAGCTTCGTGTTTACGTTACTGAAACTGCTCGTTACTGTGCACACAGTTCGCTGGGGACAAGACGGACACGCGGTCATCCCCGGGCTGGTCTTCCTTGCTTTGCTTCACTTTTGGCGCTCCGGTTTCGCGGTGCGGATCTCATATCCGGCACTGGCTGGGCCTGGAATCGAAGCTTGTTGAGCCTATGCAGGGTCACACAGGTTGATCCGAGAAAAAGGGTCCTTTTAGGGAGGAAACATCATTAAAGTCAGGGCAATTAAGATCAGGAGACCGATCGACAAACGAGGGAGGGCCTCAATTGGAAAGAAAGAAAAAAGGAAGAAAAAGTGAGACCTGTTACAAAGACCCAATTCAGGGCCCAGCAGACAAAAAAAGAAGTTCGGGAAACCTTTCAAATCTGTCCGCAAAAGCTGAGGCGTGGAAGTTGACTGCCGCTGCAGAAAGACCCACAGGGCATTCTGACTTCTGCCAAAACACCTAGAGAGCCACTGAGAGAGAGAGGGACCCACTCCGCTCCGCTGTTGCCAGATTGATTGCAGCGCCTGCCCGCCTGCCCGCCTGCCACTGTCCAGTTCCCACTGTCCACTCCTGCCAGCACACCAAACCCCCCTGGCTTAGCCCCGAAGGCAGGATCAAAGGTACCGACCCCAAGTCTCACCCTGTCGTGTCGCACTTGCCCTGTCTTGGATCCCGGAATTCGGACTGGGGGGTGGCCACTACAGGCAGGATGATGACTCCACGCTCTTTCATGCTGGCGCAGCGAGAGAGGGAGAGCCAACATCTGCGCCCTCCTTCCCCTTGTACTACCAGTGCTAGTCATCATAATACTTTATCTATTCCGACTCCCTCTTTATCTCCAGCCTTCACTCCCATTCCCACACGTTTATTCTCCTTCTCATCCTCACCTTTATCTTCTTCTGTTCTCTTAGATACTTCATCTCCTCATCACCAAATATCAACACCGATAACCAGTGTACATCATCCTTATCAGCCATCACCAACATACAACACCAAGTTGGCGACTTCAACGACAGCGACCTCGAAGTCGACCACATTCTCACTTCCGCGCTGGTCGCCCAAGTATGACGACAGCAACAAGCACATTACAGTCACCATATCTTCAGCTCAACCGACCTCCGATGCAACAATGGTTAAACGCAAGGATTGGCGGGAGACTTCCAGTCTTGCCCCTTCGAGCCCACCAAAAACAACTGTTAGTCTGACGATGAGACCGACAACACCAACAAGTCCTGTCAAGATTCCTACTACCAACAACCGATATGGCGCCCACCCTCAAAAGCGTCACTCATCACAGAGGAAACGAAGCAGTGACTCGCGATCTTCGGATAAGCTTTCACCGTCTCTCGTTGCACTCCTGGCCGTTACAGATATTCCCCGACATAAGCAGCTTCAAAGGCGCCGCCGCCGTTCCGAAAAGACCCTGACAGTACAGGAGGTCATTGACTGTCAGCATGCCTCGGAAAAGGAACTAAGCTGGACATTCAGCAGCCCTCTGGATATGCTTCTCTCTCCACCTCAGGAAGTTGCCGACGATGATGATAGCGTGAGCGATTGCAACATCGGCTCCAGTATGTCAACAAGGACTTATTCCATCGATTCCATCCCATCTCTGGACGAGTCATTCTCTAGCGAGTGCCTCTCATCTCTCGGAAGCCCAAGGACCCCTAGTCCATGCTCCCGCAGGACTAACTTGACTCCTATGCGAAAGTCGCTAGAGCCTGTTATCTCTCCACCTGGTTCCGTTGATGAACACCCACTGGCAGGAGATGATCTCGACGTCGATGAGCTCGACTTCAGCACTCTCAACCAGCCTGAGGAGGTTCAGCCCAAGTCCCAGTTCCTGGAGCCTTTCAAGCCCTTGAGGTCTGTCTTCAAGTCGAATCTTACCGCTTCACTCCGAGCCATTCGATCAGCAGCTCGATCCTTCTCGGTTCTAAACCTTCCTTCTATCCCACCGGATGATTACTTGACTCGATCTATTCTCACTATCGATCCCAATGTTCCGTATGCTGATGAGCGTCGGCCACCCGTTTCCGAGGAAATGCCTTCCGCAGCAGTTCGCCGTTATCTCAACCCTACCACTAACGCAAGGATTGAACCGCCCACAAAGACCGTTTTTGCCGGGACCTTTGCTGCATCAATTCAGATGCGAACTTACAAGATCCAACGCTCCCGAACAGCTCCGGGTTCTACCCGAAACTCTTATCCATCAACATCGCTCCAGTCGCAGCCTGCCCCTGTCCCTCAGCAGCCACAGCCGCAGGTCCCCACTCAATCGGTCCCAGGCATGCGACAGCGGGAAATGCGTGAGAACTCCGATTTCATCCGTATCGCTGTGATGGAAATGGCCATGCGCAAGCGTGGAAAGCTCGACGACCAGCGACCGGGCCGAGCTCGTTTCGCACTTCCTCCACGACAAACCTCAACAAAGCCCTACGAGATGGGAGCAAACGGTGTTCCGGCTCGCTGGATTCCTATCACAGCCTAGGTTTCCATTGCTGTGCCGTAACCAGAATCGACACAACAAATCAAAAGGCTTGAATTTCTCGATTTACGACATGCAACACGTCATGTACCTGGCCATGGTTTCTTTGCATTGCAACGAGACCAATTCAGGCAGGACAACCCACGGAAGTGCAGCCGATTTGGGACCCACCTCGTGGACTCATTATGGAGTGCCTGACGTTTATCCATGCCATTGGATGCGATGATGCAAATTTTTGCCCCCCCATCTCAATGGAAGGGTTTTAGAAGCATGTCCACGAGCGATGGTCCCACAACCCGACGATAGGCCCCGGAGAGAAAGTGCAGCACGATTTTTGACGGAGCCACAGCAAAACGATTGACCTGGTTCTGACTCAGGAAAACCGGGGCGACATTAACAGCTCTCAAAGGGATTGGCCACCGAACACGAACCCGAAACAGTTTGGGCCTCGGCATTCAAGGTTATTTCACCATGAGGGCATCGGCCAAACACACCACAACAACCAATCACAATTTCCATTAGACATGGGAATACTTCATCATTCTAGAAAGCGAGTGGCATTTTCAGGAGTTTCCCGTTATTACACGTTATTTCATTTACTTATTCCCCTTTCTTATCACCGCGAGGTGGAGAAAAAGCGCACAATCACCGGATTACGAGGCACTTATTTGTTTCTTGTACATGAACAAATTTTCTCATATTTCTTTTTCGAACAGGCCCTTTCGGCATTTGACCCCCGCCCAAGCGGAATCGGATGCAACTGAACAAAATCCCGCTCATGCCCGGGCTTATAGAGAGCCTTGGGACGCGGTCGGAGAAGACTCGGACAGAGAGAGAGTCATCGCATTTGTTGAGAGGAGTTGGCATTTAGGACCGCAGGAACAGAGCATTGGGTCCGGCGAATTGGGAGATCATATCTTTTTTAAGCAGGACTGTTACCAGTACATACATATCACATTCACAATGCACTCGTCTTTTGAGACGAGGAGAGGCATAGGCGCAAGCGGGCATGGCAAGGCACGTAGGACATGGAGCGGTGTATTTGCTTGGATATCCATTTGTTAACATTTACATATTTTTATCAAGATATTACAATTATTTTTCGTGTTCCACAACCCACTGCGAATATCCTCTTACATTGGACCCCTCGGCTATTTCTAGCCCGACTGGACCTCATTACCCTCGCCAAAAGCGGCAAAGCGACATTTGGGCTGGGCAATGCACGAATGCCCAACCAACCACCTCATCAAAAAATAATATTGCACTGGACCGACTGCCTGCACGTTGGCGCTGTTGTCTCAGTCACCGATTGTTGAGATTGCGTGGTCAACGGTTACTGGATCTCATGACAAGGCCTTGCTGTCAATCTCGGCTAACAAGCTTATTTCACTCCATCAGTCTATCTGCTCGGTTATGGACCTTCTCTTTATGCTTCTCATCCGGGCAAAACTGGAGCGATTATGCCAGCAACAGTGACAGGAGTTCCTCAGATGTGGGACATAGAACAAAAGAACTTCTAGAAGACCCTTTCCTTCTTCTTGTGGGGGTAGAAGCCGCGACATTGGATTGAGTCAGACGCTAGTCAGGGGTTGGTAGAGGGCCGGGCTACAAGCGCATCCATTGTTGATGTTTTGACCACGGGAAAAATCGACAACTCCCCGCTTGCGATAAGGGAAATAACGCCAAAAAGGCAAGATTTTCAACAGGGTTCTCTTTGCTGCAGTACACTTTGTTGTGCAGTAGCTAGCTCCATAATCCCCTCAAGGCCCCAAGGGGCGTGTAGCGGAGACAAATCTCCTATGCCCAGGAGGGCAAAATGTTCTAGACCGCTCATTACAACATGTTGTTTAATATCTCGTGACTGCAGAGTATATGAAGCCATTTAACCAGGCGGTGTATTAATTCCTATTCTGTGGGGA